TAAAAAAATGTGTTTTTATCCATAGTTTTTAATGAGCAGGTGGGTGTGTGTTTTGTATTTTTACAAGAAACTGCCTAGATTTTTCAAAAACGGTGGATGGATTTGTATAATCTTTGCACTAGCAGTGTGTCTCTACTCTTGAAGGAGTTTCAGTGACATGTCTGTTCAAGTTTTAATCTTGAAGATCACAGCCAGACACATATGACTTCTACATTGCAAAAGCCTGTGACCTTCCCATCATGGTGTAAGTTTTCTTGAAAGGTTTCATATTTTAATGGCAAACCCCCAGGGTCCAACCGCCAGTAAGGGGGACTAGCTATATTTACATTAAGTTAATGGTGGAAATTCAAACGTCAGTGAAAAGTTAAGGAAAGAAATCCATATACCTTCAAACACTGTGAAACACCGTAGTCTTAGCATGGCAGGGGAGGAGAACCTAAAACGTAAACCTAAAAGAAAAGAGATTGGAACATACTCACAGAAAGACTATGCAGACCATTTAACCCTTCCAAAAATGGTAGTGGTGGTGCAAACAGAAAAATTAGGCCATTTCAAATAACTAAGCTTACAGTACATCAGTAGGCACCACTGTGCTGAAACTACATGCATGGAACAAAATTACACAACAACATCCACCACCATGCCCTAGCCGTAAGTCCACACCCTATCTTACTGGCCTTACAGGCAGCTTTTTGGTAATACCAGAAATTAGGGGTCCAAAAGTGTGACATTTTCGTGTCCGTGTTACGTGTACATCTGACCTTTGTTATTTGACATGTAAATATCACCGGAAGCATTTTCAAACTGTTACTATTTGTTTGGCAGGTAATTTGCATTAATTGATCACTCTTGGAATTTAGAAAATGTGTTCTGAACTCACAGAAATCATATATCAGATGTTACAGCGAGACGAAAAAAATGGACCCCTAATTTCTGGAATTACCCTTTCATAAGCCTGCAGTGAGAGTTATTCAAAAGGAATGTCGCACAGCTGCTTAAAGGAATTCTCAAGACTTGTGAACAAACCAGATTGACTTTTCTGAAAAGACTCACCAGCCCAGGGCTCCACAGTGATACTGAATACATAAATAAGGGCCCTGCAGTACTGTGGCCAGAACACTATAATTTGCTTTAAAGGAACAATTGCTTTGACTCAATCTTTGTTAAAATATTTCTATCCATAAGTGATTTATAGGGATTATTTGTGGAAAAAGTGAAAGAGCCTTCATTTTGTTCGTACTTTTGCATTCAGGACTCGCACTTGGTGACTGCCCAGCCATAGCACCCAGCAATGGAACATTTGGATTATGCGTGGAGCAGTGTGAAAGTGACGCCAACTGCACGGTGCCCCTGCAGAGATGCTGTTTCAATGGATGCGGTCATGTCTGCACTGATGTTGTCGCAGCAACTGAAGGTTTGTGTTAAATGCCCCCATCTTTTATTTGCCCAACCCCTCTACAACCCCTCTCTGGACTTCATGTACTTGCCAGTGTGGTAACCTGGTGTAGGCAAGGACCCGATGCCATTCACAGTATCCACTCTGAGCAGGAACAAAAGAGGGCGTGTTTTGAAATAAAATTAACAGTCCTTCGGTACTCACGTTCCGCATAGCTGTGCAAGTACACCGAGTACTAGCGACAGTTTTAGTCTAGACTGTGTGGTCTTTTCGTGCATGCCAAACGTGTGCTAGCAGTTGGAAAACTTAGTACCATCTGTCTTCAACCGGTGAGTGTGCACTTCAGCTCAGTGTGGATTTAGGTGGTGGGCAAATGCTCAAAGTTTGATGAACAAGCAAAAAGTATCAAGAAAACGCCAGTGTTTGATTGGCAAGATAATGACAACCAAGCACTGCTCAGATTGTGGCCATCATGTTTTGTAAAGAATTTGTGCTTGCTTTACAACCAAACAAAATAATTATATATGACACATGCACATGATGCTTGCCTACCATGGCCAATCTCATGGGGTAACTGGTGGGTTGATTGGGCCCTTTGCCCTTACCAAAGGTTATCTCTTTGTCATCTGCAGCTCCGTGCCATGAAGTTACCTGTAGGATAGCCTGTCACTTTGGTTATCAGCAGGATGCAAATGGCTGCAGCATATGTTCCTGCAACAACCAGACAGGTAAAGGCTATATTTTTGTGAGAAATCCCCAACCTTGTATTAGCTCAACATTTTTCAATCTTTTTAAGCTCCCCAAAGAAGTTTTCTTTGGAATCAGGTTTCAAATGTTACAGGATTCTTAGAGGAGACAAGTTGGTACATTTTTCCAGTCTTCCACATCTGCTACCTGACGTTGCAGTCCTGTCGAGGTCGGCACATGGATTGGGTTTTCAGTCCTACCTAATTCCGTATATTTCCAAAGGATGCTTTTCTGGGGTTTTCCTCCACTTCCGAAACTGAACACTTCTTCATTGTCACAGGGATAATCATCCTGTAATGGGAGACTTTGAGAGGCTTGATGGCAGCAGACAAACCAGTCCTTGCAAATTTTGGGCATGCATGTCACTTCAGCTTATACATGTGCTGTACATGTACTTTTGAACATACACACAACTGTGATTAAACGGCTTGCTTGTCTGTCACCACCAAGTATCTCAAAGTCTCTCATGGTCACTTGCACTGTTGGATAATCATGAAATTCAAATTTTTACAAAATGTGTATATTTGGTATAGGTTTTGTTCTGTTTGGGTTCATTTCTGTCAGTGATACACAGTGGTGAGTGTCCGACACCTGACCAGGACGTCGCAGGGATATGTGTGGATAGCTGCGGTCATGATGGCGACTGCGCCCAGACCGAGAAATGCTGCTCCAATGGCTGTGGTCATCAGTGCTTGGCGGCCAGCACCCGTGGTCAAGGTATAATTCCTAATATGCTGCTGGACTTACATTTTGGTGCAATTATACCAGGGTCATATCCAGGGAAGGGTAGTGTTAAGAGGGCTATGCCTGTCTCAAAACGATTCATGGGTGCAGCACATTGAAATGAAAAGGGAAAAAAATGTAATCGAATTGCCTTCTTTAATAAGCGAATGGTTCTGCCCTGGTTACCAACTGATCCCTTATTATTGCAGTGATATTAAGAGATATATGCAACAATACGTATGAAGCCAAACCACGGTGGTTGTGTTTGTATTGCGCATGCCCAATGTGTATTAGACTGGCATCGCAGCCGTTCATCTGTATATCAACAGTAAAAACAATGTTTTACAGTGGTTACAGCATAATGGTTTGTGATGGATGGGGTGTGGATTCGAATACCGGGTCGAAATTGTGGGCAGCGAGGTTTTTTTTAAAGGAAGATAAAGCCCGAATGATATATGAGCCTAATTTCACAGGTGAAGTTTTTATGGTTGGTTGAGCATCTAGATTTTATGCATTGTGCATGGTTGTGAACCGTGGTTTGGCTTCATATGTGTGATTGCATACATAGCTCAAAATTACAGGTTAAAACAGAAAATGCTCAACTATTTAAATTTTCATAGTCTTGACTCAAGTGGGACTTACATTGCTCTGAGCTCCCCAGTCAGCCATCACATACACAGTGCACGGTCATCGTGCTCGGCAGCGCAACTTGCATAACTTCTTCTTTGGCACCCTCATTTGATGGTTTTTTGCAATATCTGGTGTCAACCTCAAAGAATGTGCAACATGTGTCACTGGTCAGTATGTGTGACTTGACAGATTAGCCAATCAGACCCATGTTGGTGATATGTAGTTATTCATAATTGCATGAGCGACATGATCTTGCAATAATGTATATAGAATTTCCACCAATCAAAGTAGTCAGACTAGGAAATCCCACCAATCAAAGTACTAGTTGTCAGACTTGTAGACTCATTCATTACACTAGAGGTACATGTATGAACGACGTAACAAAAACAAGTCCAGCCATTTGATTGGCTGTGACCTGTTTTAGTAGATGAGCTGATTCACTGTACAAACGGCTAGCAGATTCATCAAGTCCGGATTTCTGAACTCATTGTAAGAAGTGGACTCAAGGGCGCAAAGCAAGTAATGATGTGTGGCCTCCACATCCAAAGCATAAATGTGACAACGTAATGGAATATCCCCACTTGAGTCAAGTGTAGCATTTTCAATAAGTTGATTTTGATTGGACTCGGCCCCTAAGGGCCACCGAGGGTGGGCCAATGGGGTCCTGCGATTTGTTTGAACTTTTTGTGTTTGACAGCAAATGGAATACCTTTTTACTATATACTAATGAACATATTTGCTCGATAACTACGTATCGGATTAGCCACAGGTCAAGTAACTTATCACATCAATGATCAAATCACACGCTGATTTAGTCAACAATGGTCAGACTAATCAACTATTTGGGGGCCAGCCGGCTGATGGATGAGTCTGTCTACCGTTTGAACAAATATTGGAATATTTGGTTATACCAAATTCCTCAAAAGCTGTTCTAAATAAACTCTACGTAACTTTGCTAAACGTAAAGAGAAGAACTTAAAAGAAAAGTCGTTTTTGGCCTTATCAATGGTCAAATACATTCAGCTGCCTTTATGTTTACTTTTCACAACTTAAAACTTTATTTTATAATGCCATTTTGTAACCAAATAAAATAAATAATTTTTTTTCCTTTATCCACTGCCTGACTGCTTTTCACCTCTGAATACTTGATGTCTTAAATAAATGTTTAATAATTGAAGATATGAATAATTGGCACAGCCCTAAGCCTTCTGTGATTGTTTGCTTGGCCAAAACTTCTTGTGATGTACATGTATGTTGTTTTGGAATGGTATTTACCTCTCTTGGCTAGCATGACAATCAGGTAGAGTTTGAGCTGGTAACCTTTGTTTATTATGAAAGCAAGGTTTCTTTATGCTTGAGGAAAGTCTGTGCTGAAGCAGCTCTATGAAATTGGCCCCAGCTGGTAATCATTTGGCAACTCTTGGAAATTGCAACAGTCGAACTTGACAAACAGCTAGCATGAACTCATAATCAAGTTAAGTTGTGACTTGTACATGCAGACAATTCTACCAAGCCCGGGCAGTGTCCTACAACCACCGGTTTGGGGGTCGGATTGTGCATAGAGGACTGTACCAGCGATGCTGACTGCCGGCCGGAATCACAAGTGCTGTTCTAATGGTTGCGGGCACCAATGCAGGGAACCGGTGACAGGTTGGTTAAAAAGTCAACTGGCTCACCACCTCATCTTTGCAATATCGATGGAGCTGTGGAAATCTTTGTACGAAAAAATTAACACTTATTTTTTGAAAGACAAGCAATTTCAGAGTGCCTAGTATTTGCAGATCTATACCTGTATACAATGTGTATTGGATACAGTACCTGAAAATCATTGCAATTGATTCAGAAAATTTTGCCCAATTTCAGAAACTTTTCAGAGAATGTTCTCCTATTTGGTCACTTGACCATGATGGCTACTGAACCTAAAGATTTCTAGAACTAGTTAGAATCTGTTGGTCTGGAAACCAGACTTATAAGACATATTTCCAGTTGTCATCCAGGATCTCCCTTTGAGAAACTGGGCTGGGTGCCATGGCTCTTGACCACTAGGAAAGGGTAAAGTGAGGTAATTTGAATTAATTTTGAAACTGTTTGAAATTGGTGTTTATCGGTGTTGACAATTTGTCCTGCAGAGAAGCCCGGTAGTTGCCCTGTGGGCCTGCTGCCGGAGGGAGCTGTAGGAACCTGCGTGGAGCTGTGCGGTCAGGACCAGGACTGCCCTACCTCTCACAAGTGCTGCTCCAACGGCTGCGGGCACGCTTGCATCCAGCCGCTGGATATACCTGGTAGGCACGGACTTATCTAAGAAGATCCCATTACCGCGGCGGTACCATACTCATTCTGTCCATTTTCAGGTCAGAAAAAATTAGCCTTCATAAAACTAGAGAACATTTGACAGTGTTGGAAGTATCAACTTAAAAGGATGTTGCCAACATTGAGACCACAAACTACCTTTACTTGTTCATTCTCTCTTACTTTTTGTGATGGGGAAAATCACTGGTAAAAAGGATATAAATTGCCAATTTGGACGGGGGGGGAGCAGGTTAGCGTAGCAG